CATAACACTGGTTCTCAGAGAGACGGAGGCTTGCTTTGGGGTTTGCGAACAAGACTCGTTTATGCTGGTTCAATTTGACCGTAAAAAATATTCAAACCGAATCCACGGACTTTCTTCCGTTTTACAATGACTAAATCCCAAATAGTCTTGTACTCTATTCAAAGTATCCAATGTGCACAGCACATTTGACACGTTTTCCCGTGTCAAAACTTGTCAATATTATTAAACATCTTTTTCGTTGAAGGGAAGAAAACAGTAGTCTTAATGGGCCCTTTTTAATTTTGTCTTGAATGCGAAGCTAACATGAAAATACAAAAGAAATGCCACAGATTCCAGCATCGAGAAAAAAGCGTAATTTCTTTTGTATTTCCACGTTAGCCTATGGTTTTAATACTGATAAAAACCTGGCTAAGTACTAGTGGTTAGAGTGGTTTTCATAAACCCGTGAAGTACGTCATGTACACTCCCTAGCATATTAAGCACTACTTCACTCTTGTTCTTTTGCTTTTTATTGTACTTGCTGACTATTTATACACTTAAAGTATACACTAGTATAAAATAGTGCTAATGAAATATATGAAATATATGTTTTATTAATTCTATTAGATTGTGTTTATTCATTTTAAGCTTGTTTTTTCTTGAATTGTTTAATTATTCGCTAGGTAGATCTTCTTCAGTTGACTTAATTCACTTCTATTTTTACATTGTTTAGTCTATTACGATCACTAATTAGACCCTAAACACCCCATTCACACCTAAACGAGTTTAGTTAAAATATGTTTTCATTAGGAAAAAAATTGAGAAACTGCAAACCTACAATATAATGAAACTTTCTAAAATATTGTCAGAGCAAGACAAAGAATAGTTTACATGCATTATTTCACCAAATATTGTGCAGTGTTCGTAGATAGTTTTCCAAACCTGTTTAGTTAAACCACTTTAAAACATGTTTAAGCCTTGGTGTGAATGGGGTATAAGTTTAATATACACGTCAATATATTCAAGTCTGTTCTCAAAATCACAATATTGTGGCAAAATTAAAGCTGAAATGAAAATGATCGAAAATTAAATAAATAGAAAGACGGTGATAGGCATTATTTGTCAGCTTGAACGGAATTTAATAAGTGAAAACGAAAATAGGATACACCGTTCTCATAATGGCTGAAAATGGCACGAAAACGATGTCAGCCAGTCATTTAGTTCACAATACAAGATATAAAAGTACATTAAATGCGTTTATAGAAGAAAAGTATGGAAATTTACCTGTTGTTTTGAACTGCACGAGCAGCCTTGCTCAGCCTTGCAAGTCAGCCATTATGAGAACAGTGTATATGAAAAATAATCCTTTGAAAGGTAAAAAAAAACCGGGATATATAGCTCGATCCATTATCGTCATAAGTACCTGGTGAGGAGGGCATGAAAGACTGAATAGGTGGTGTACGATGACGTAATTTGTTTTGATCAAGGACATGAAATTCTTGGAAATTCAAGCAATAAACAAACAAATGTCAAAAGTGGCAAGATCCTATCGCTTTGGAAGATATCTGAGAATTTGAGGACAAATTTCTTGATGGTTTCCAAGTTAACATCGTGAAATTTGACAGTAAATGTATGTTGGTTGGCAAGATATTGCCAACCAACATGGCATTTACTGCAAAATTTAGCAACTTTAATTTATTATATCTCCTGAACTAATGAAGCAACTGCTCTCAAATTGATAAATATTATCAACAGTTATGACTTCTTTATATTTCTTAAGTCCAATCGTTTATGGCTCAAAAGCTGATTTTTGGAAATGTAAACAGTACGGACGCCTATACAGTCGACTTACATTTACTTAATAGTATACACCTATTTCGAAAATCGTTGTCGCACCAAGAGCCTCATGTAACAAGCCGAGGTTCCAGAGAACTGATTTATTCTTGGTTCATGCAAGTGACTATAGCTCTCCACTAATTATCATCTCAAGCAGCCTTGCTTGGAGCAATGTATGAAGTCAATAAATGAAAATGCACCGCATGAATAAACTAATTACAGCTAAAAGTACCGGCGTTCTCTGCGGTCTTGGCTTGTTGCTTGAGGCTTTTGGTGCGACAACGATTTCCGAAATAGGTATATATAACATACAAATCAATGTCAAGAGCTAAACAGTTTGATTCTGCATGACATTTTCTAATTTTATTTTATTTCTCTTTTTCTTTTTCTTTTTCTTTTTCTTTTTCTTTTTCTTTTTCTTTTTCT